CTGCAATATACAAGCCGAGTCTTGGTTTGCAGAAGCGACAGGGTCTAGACAAGGCGTTTCCCAGGACATCTCATGGGTCTTATGCATCGTAAAGCTTCCGGAGCCTGTACACTCGCAGACGACTGTCAGAGTCAGAGTGCTTTGGCTTCCCATCGTGGAGCTCAGAGCCAGGCTTGTGGAGGCGAAGCCTATCCTGATCTTCTACTTTGGTTCCATCGTGCTGTTCGTGTCAATCGCGCTGATGTGCCTCGGCGGGTCGTGCACGGGGTGAGCAGCGTGTTCTCCAGCTTTTAGACATGGCAACAGCAAATTCAATGATGCTATGTTCTCAAGTTTGCAGTTGCTGGTTCCGATGTCGTACGAGGAAACAAGGTGCTCCCGTGCAACTGGCGCACTGTAGTATTTCACTGATTCGGGTCCACGCTGGCACACTTATGCATGGTGTGTCAAATTCGCATGTATACAGGAACCAAGTGCAGAGATGCATATACGGAGATAGATACACGTATACCGTATACAGATGTGCAGGCATACACACACGCATATTCGCGCCCATCTATGTGTCGTATCTACTTATCCACATGGCTAGCTGTCTATCTGCCTATCTATCCTTCTATGTATCTACTGTGCGTGCATCACACGTACATGCAGATGTATCTTTAGATGCATATGTATATAAGCATATAGGCATGTCTCTCTGCATGTGTATGTGCAATGTATGTGCATGTGTGTGATTTTTTATGGATGTGTATGGAATGTGTATATGTATATGTGTATATATATATATATATATTGTACTCCCGACACCGCACCGGCAAAGTGGTTCGAGCGAATTTTCAATTATGCAGTCAGCTGGCGTTTTTGAGTGTGCTTTTTGTTGGTGTTGCTGTGTTTCTTGTGCCTGTGTGTGACTGTGTGCGTGTGTGTGTGTGTGCATGCATGCACGCATTCGTGCGTGCTCCCAATTTTGTGCGGCTGCAGAGCAAGACACTGAAAGGTCCAAACGGGGTTATTGACGACGATAAAAATCATGAACAACCGATCTGTGTTTATGTGATGTCATACTACCTTTGCTGGCCCTTGGGCAGATGCACAGGCAGATCACCCCAAGTGCCCTGCCAAAGCTCTCTTTGGCCCGATTCAACTCTATTTCAACATGGCCCGCAAACATGGCACCAAGGTTGCCACTACCTACCTTAAACTCGACCAAGTTGTCAAGCACACGGTTTTGTGAATGACCTGGGGCAACAGTTTGGAGTAGGGAAATCATGGCATGGCAATTGTGCCGGATGACGTGATTGATTTGTATACCCTGAGCCCAATGTCTTGTCACTTCTGTCTCGTGGACCAGCAAGCAGACAACCTCAGCGAGGAATCTCGTGACGGCGGTGCTCGTGGAAGGCTTCTTGGATTTTTGATATCTCGATTGCACTGCAGACGACAGTCAGTCTGCGATCGACGTTCGTTTGTTTGTCCTGTCTTCTGCATCCAAAAGAGCCGTCGGAAGCCATGGTGCACCCCCTGATCTCTGACACTGAGCGGTGTTCCATCTCATCGCAAGCTTCGCCAGTTCAACTTCACCTTCGGCCATATTGGCATTGTGGCTTGCCGGCTTGCCTTCTGCAATGCTCAGTCTGGTGCTTTGGCAGCAGGTGCCTTGAACCATGCTCAGACGGACCGGGACCTCGAGAAGATTGACAGAAACGAGCGTGACTCGACTAATGCAGCACGTGTCGGCGAGAGGGCGGTGCTGCTTGACATGTGAATGTGGTTGCATGCCGTGAGCACGCTCCCTGTTGAGATTTCTTGCAGGCTTGTGCTCTTCGCACACTCACATGCGAGGTTTGAGCAAAGCCCTCACTCGCTTGATCACTTTGTTCGCCGCAGCGTGGCAGCAGCCTCGCAAACTCTGGAAATGTCTTTCGAGTTGGGAGGTTCTTTCAATCTCTGTGTCAAGGCGCAGCTCCTCCATCCCAGCAGGTTCTACTGTACTCGTACTATCTCGCACTTGTATTTTAGTACGGTACAAGTGTTCACCAAGCCGAGCGTTTTGAAGTCAGCGAAACGGCGAGATGATTCGAGCTATGTCGAGCTTCTGACCGCGCTGAGGACATGGACAAAAACGGCGATGGTACCGTCACACTGGAGGAGATGCAGGCCTCGGAGACTCGGGGCAGTCGCGGCGATACTTCCTGTCGGCCTCGAGACTAGTGCAGCAGCTGTGGGAGTACAACTGGGGGCAAGTGCTCATAAGCTCACACGCTGCAGCTACCTGCCATGTTTGCATGCGGATGGCTATTTTGTCCGGCATGCAATCACTCAAAGTCATGGCTTTTTCACGGTTGCATCGGAAGAACACCATAGTATGCCCCTGACCTACGGACGTGGGCATCCCGGAATGTTTGGACTTGCTGCAGTTTGTTGGCCAGTGGATACACAACGGTGCGGTAATTGCTCCAAATTCAACTTTGTATGTCCGACGTGCGAGCATTGCAGCATACTGCCATTCACGTCTTCAGAGCTCGGCCATGCCATGCAGGCGGTGCCTCCGAATCTGCTTCCACCGGAAATCTTTGAGCATGAAATGGCAGTCACGATCGCGGAGGCACGAGAAGACATGGAAATTTCCGCATATTCTGTTTAGAGCCGGCTTCGGACATGAGGCGTGCGGGGATGTGGGACAGCTGTTGGATTTTCTACCTTAGGCAACTGTAATCAATTTTTTCATCGTGGCTTGAAGGCTTTTGCAAGCTGCGAATTAGGCTTTCATTGCCGAAGGCCACCCCAGGTGTGATTACGCTTACTTCCCACATCCGCTCAAGAGGAAGTGCCCGGATGGAGTGCTTCCCCCACATGTTCCCAAGCCTTCATCAGCAAGAACGCGCAAGATAAAAAGAACGGAGAGGTCTTTCAAGTCTTGGACGTGGACGATCAGGGCACGCTCGACCAGCGAGAGCCACTCAATGTGATTTGGACTCTTGAGCAGGAGCCGTCCTTATTAGTTCTTCTTCTGAGTTCTTTCTGATCCATGTCATTGTAGCTTGCGTCAGTCTCTTTTAAGTTTGGACGATGTCGCTGGAGTCAGCTGCATTACCACATTTGGACAGGCAATCATCCATGACGTCTTCTTGCACTGAGGTTTGTTGAGGGGCTGCTTGCCGTCTACCTCCAAGATATGCCACTGGCGCAGCTGGAAACGCTGAAGCTCCTTCAAAAGCAGATCCGCAGCACAGAAGTAGGACAGGTTAAGATGGTTGTTTTGGGCCGACTTGCGAAAGGGTACCAGCCCTCTTTTCGGTTCTTGGTCTCTCAGCGTCCTTATCCTCGACATTGTCCCACAAAGGTAGGAATCGTGTAACGGTACCTCAGACCGGCTCGCAGTTCACAGGCAGAACCACAGGCTGGACGAGATTTACAAGGCTCAAGGGCTTTGGCAAGTTGGTGAGCCGTGCACGAAGATCACTGCGTCCATCACTTCGATTGGGTTTCGGTTTCGGAGTTGATGTTTATGATTGATAACCAGATTCACAGGAGCCGATAAGGAACAGATCAGCGTGGCCGCACACGATTGAACACGTGCAAGCTTCGCAGTTGAGGGAAGCAAGCAGTGCGTCATGGCTTCATGGTACTGCTTGAAAACCAATGGCGCTAAAGTCACTCTTCTGGACTCTTGTTCTAGATCTAAGTTGCAGGTTCTTCGGCCACGATGCCCAGTGTCAATGCGGGACCAGCCCGCGGCCACGGTGGCGGCTTCTTGGAAGGACTTCCGAAGCATTTTGATCTCTGACCATAGGTCTCTCTCGTAGCTTGCATTCGTTTTAAATGTGCAAACTGCTAACCGCTAGCCCTTGGCTGGACCTGGGTAAATGGTGGGGACGGGCGACCAGATGCCGCCATTGTAAGGTTTGACAACGGCGGCCCACTGTTCTCAATCCGCGACTGCTGAGTCCATTGGTGTATGGTGACATCGGAGAGGTCAGAGAGGGGTGCTAAGGCTCATCCCGGCTCAAGCCTTGGAGGAGAGACAAAGACTGGTTGTGATAATGAAGCGATACTTTATTATGTGTATGTATATGCATATGCAGACATACATATATATATATATATATACACATACAGTATATACACATGTTGTACATATATACACATGTGTACATATGCATACATATATATGCTTACATACATATACGCATACACACACACATGTGGCTGCATATCTGTATGTATATGTACAAACAAGTACTTGCTCGCAGGCACGCACACAGACAGACAAAGGACTACGTGTTGTGATCCGTTTGATGTTTGAGGCTCGCGTTTTGCCATGCAGGAAGTCAAGAATTGCTTCCTGTTTCGGCTTGGCATGCAATCAGTTTGGCGGTTCTCCCACTGGTCGTGAGGAACCAAGGGGAGGCCGACCTCGCAGATGCTTTTTTCATCTCATGCTGCCAGGTGTCGTCATCCCCACGCGCATTCAAAGCCCATGCAGGGTCCGAGAATGAGTGCGGGGTACCCATTATGTGTGGTTGAATTCGTCACGACAGGGAGCTTTTTTTGAGCACGGCCTCTTCGCCCCTTTGTGAGCATGGCTTAATGGCCATGTCTTGATACAGTGTCGGCTTATTTGGAGATGTCTTGCAACTCGCTGACGGCCTCCTGCGAAAGCCGAATGCCCCTGGCTGGTCTGGTTCAAGCCCCCGGGAAAAAAACCGCAATCACTCTGTCAGGCTTTTCGTAGAAGCAGCTTGCTTAAATCCGAGTTGGTCGCTCAAGCCAACCTTGAGTGGAGCTCAGAACAGAGAGGGGCTTGAGAGTTCAGGGTGGAACGATCCAGCTAAACAACGATGAGCCGTCGGACTGCTTTGAGTGCTGATGCAGTACATAACTTTGCAAGCCACATAGATGCTCGCGCGACGATCCCATGCGAGTCGTCTTGGAGCTACAGTGTGCATTAAAGTTCTCTCGGTTGACACCTTCCCTCGCATCAAGATCGCAGTGCTGAGGGTGATGCTGCCTATTGCGGCCGTCACGCCACGGCAGGCCGAGCAAGCTTTTGCGAATTACGCTTATGCCTGTGCTTATAAATACGAATATAAATACATAAGTGTATATATGTATGTATCAACAAATACATACATATGTATGCGTATATTTGTATTGTATTGTAATACGTATATGCATGAGTGTATGTATGTAGGTATGTATGTATGTATGTGTAATTATACACGGCATGACAAGACCCGCCAGGCGAAGCTCTCTTCCTTGCGTCCACAAGAAGACGTATGTGTTATCATATATATATATATATATATACATATCTATATATATATATATATATATATATAGAGATATATGATCACTTTACAAGATCCGGAATCCCGTGCCCCCACGCCCCTCTCCCCTCTCCCTCCGTGACAGTCGTCGTTTTCCGGATGTGGGAAAGTGACTGCTAGTCTTGTGGCTGGATTGGACTTGTTGGCGTCATGTTTCTCGTGGCTCTCGCAAGTTTTCGACATGCTGGCAGCGTTGTGGCAACAGTAGCTGGTACGCTGTCATGATTTCGACGATGGTTGTTTTTATGCACAGTTTGCAGACCGGGTTCGCACCGAAATATGCCGGAACAGAGCTCTTCCTTCACTCAAGCCGCAGCGGGCGGGGACCAGCCGACGGCTGTCATTGCAATGATCTGCATAACAGCCAGTGCACCGGAGGGAACAGCACCACTTTTCATGCAGTAACAATCAAGGATGGCACTATTAGTACCAAATGGCTGCAACCATACCTCTGTGGAACATCCTGCCTGGCTGTGCTGGTTTGCCCTCGTCTCAGCAGCCAGGGCGCTCTCAGCATGTGACGACAGAGCTTCTGCTTGGCTGCATGCTGGAGCAAAACCATGTATGGGCTTCAAGCTCGGAGAGAGGGCCGCTGTACCCGCCTACCAACCGTGAACACCACAAGACCAAGAACCCGAGCAAGACTGCCACAAACGGCGGGATCGGGAGGAGGGAGGGGCATCAGCTCTGCCTCTCACTTAGATATGTAAATACAAAGTTCAGTTAATGCCATGCATACAAAGGTATTCTATATACATGTATATATACGCACACAGCATAAGACCTGCATACACGTATGTAGATATAAATGTCCACGTATGCGTTCATACACATATAGAACTAAACATGCATAAATATAAATGTAAAGGCAAATGTAAAAAAAACGTATACATGAAGGTATAGACTAAATAGATAGCCACAAATAAGTAAGTACGCGATCTCCTATAAATGATTTTAACATACGAGAGACATGATTGGATATACATGTATGTATGCATATCATGTATACATATGTAGTCAACAAATCGTTGAGTATGTGAATATATGCTACCCCCTCATCCAACCCCCGAATTGACCTGCATCATGACTTGAAGATGTGCTTTCGGTCTGCAAAAGCATGTCAAGCTGCACACGGAACAGTACTAAGATTACACGATTTGCTGTGTGTACTAGCATTGGTTTTTGTTGCCATTGCATCGTGTTAGTAATGTTTTGTCGGGTTTAGCGTAGGAACAAGTGCGGACACAGTCTTATCCGCCGTGTGCCTGCGATACACCGTCAGCAACAGCAACGACAGTGACAACACGGCAAGATAGGACAAGCCCTTTGATTATGATCATGCTGTGGTGTTCTGTTGTGGTAGCATACCGTATGTACTTCGATAGCAGCCAAGGCGAATGTGTAAGCACAAGTCAACGAAAACCCGTCATCTACAAATATGGAGTTCACAAGGTTCTGTAAAGGCAGACATTAGCAGCTTTGCATGTAAAGCCATATGATGACATGGCTATGTAGCCTTTGTATGCTTTAAGTGTAAAGCAAGATGTATGATGTTTGACAAGGCCTATAAAAGGTGTCTGTGTCTATCTGCCTGTGTGCTTTGGCGAATACTGAGACTGTTGCACATGCGGCAATCTTGACAACATGTCCAGCAAATAGTGGAGATATTAATCAGTGGCAGTGGAATCCGTCGGTGTATGCATACTCGAAGATATTATCTCTTACATGCAGCATCAGCGCTGTCGTAGGGGCATGCAAAGAACATGGTATTGCATGTAGCCACATACTGATAAGGCTATGTCGGCTATGTAATTCTATGCAGCATTGTGAACTTTAGAACCAATGCCTGCATATTCTCTATATCAATACTGCACATTATGTGCATATGTGAAAGCACCTGTAAGAACAATCAGGATCATGAGGACACATGTGCGAGTAAATGGCCTGTATTTGACTAAAGCCAGATCTACATGCATACTGCGACTGTTTATAGCACATTTGGAAATATGGGTAACGTAGTATATACTTTCTACACGGCCAAGAACCACCAGAAGACCTAGGCCAAAAAACAATAACCAAAGCTCCGCGGAGAATGCTGGACCCGTGTTGTTGTTTTGTATGTAGTTGTTTTGTTTTTGTTGTTGTTTTGTTGTTTTGGTAGTTGTTTTTTCTGGGTCTGTCGTGGAAAGCGTCCTGTATCGCAAAACCAAAAACAAAATACAAAAACAAAATGCAGAAAACACAAAAAATAGAACAGCTCCTGCATTCTCCGTGAAGCTTTGTTCTCTTTTTTTGGTCTCGGTCTTCGGGTGGTTAATAACATACTCATACTAAGATTCGTACTTAATTTAATATTACACTAACCCTAACACCAAGATTAATATCGCTACGACTGTTGATATTCATATTTGTATTCATACCATTACAAGTTCTACAAAAAAATGCACTAATAATACCATGATTGATGTCAATTTGAATACTATTAACACTCCTAAAAACAGTGATATGAGAACAAATATTAATTCTAGTATTAATGCTGATGTAAACGCTAATACGAGAGTCAAGAGTAATACTAGTACAAATATTCCTGCGAGTACAAATCATCGCATGCATCTTTCTTTGTTTGCTAATACTTCACTAATACTAATGCCAATATTTATAGTAATATCAGTATATACCAGTACCAATACTAATATTAACGCTGGTATTAGCGCTAATACGAAAAGGTATAGTATTAGTATGAATATGAACATTATTACTCCTACGAACACCAACAACAATATTCATAGTGATATGAAAATGAATATTGATACCAATACTAATAGACACCTGCAAATACTAATGTACATAAATATGCATACCACTATCTGAAAACACAAGTATTTAATATGTCAATGCATTCGTGTACTAATATGTTTGTATTTATCATATACCCATATTCCAATGTAACAATATACTACTTATACATGTATGTATGTACTATACTAATATGCTCTATATACTGATCTATGGATTATTACAGAAAGCATCACCCTCAGGGCCCGGCTTTGTGCGGTTCGTAAAAAGCTCACATTCTAATAATTACTGGTTCTTTCTGTCTTCCTGGTTGATCTCCTTGATACGGAGAGATAGATTTAGCGTACATCTAAATCGAATAAGTAGGGTACTAGATTTAAGCGATTATCGTACTAAGCTAAGGGAGACGGATCAGCGAGGCCACAAAAAGGCAAATATGTCTTAAGTTGTACAACTTAGAAATATGTAGTTTTTTTGGCCTATATCTCATTCACTATTTACAACTTGATTCTTTTACACGTCGGTTTAAAATAGGTTGGTTATGTGCGAACAAGCTAGTTAATCCTGAGGCAAGCTGGCAAGGGTTGCAAGTTTCCACTTAAGTTTTCTTGCAGCTCAAGTTCGCACTGTCACGTTTATTCTTGCTTGCCCCATGCGTTCTGTTGTGTGATGCCTGAGACGAACATGGGGGTGCTTGCCGCTCGAGTTCCTGCAGCTGACTCGCCTTGCGCTATGGACTTGAACCAGGCGCTGGCAAAAGTGGCTGACGCGCATGCGGTCACGTGCTTGAGTTTGATATACATGGCTGAGATCAACATGTGCGAGTAGTCCAATGCCATTTTGTTCTGTCACCAAGGAATCTGTGAAGGTCACGGCCATTGGTGGGTGGCGGTTTTCCGGCCGACCGGAGGCAGTGTTCTCATTGACGCTTGGTCTCAGGGCAGATGTCTTCAGATGCCCTTAAGTCAGCGCTTTTCAGGCGCTCATGGAGGACATGGACAATACAACATGTTTTGAGCTTATCGAGCGTGATGTCCTTGAAGCCATTTCCGCCACCTCCGAGTACAAGCTCTATGGAAGCGGTCCTCGTCCTGCCTGCTTGTGCGCCAAGCTCCCTCGCTCCAGAGAAGAAGAAGTTGACCACTTGTCAAAAGTCTTGCGTTGGGTGTGGAGGATCACTGGCACCTGTTGACAAACCCATCGATGCGCGACTATACACAATGGCAGGAGTTGAAGCAGTGGAACATGCGCCGATGCGTTGCACCAAGAAGTCTTGTCGCTGGGTCGATGGGCGCAAGAATGAGCACGTGTCGATGCTCCGAGCTTGACTACATCTTCGCGAACAGCAAGACGGGCTTCAGCAGCGCTTTCCTGGACTACCACGCCGCACTCCAGTTCAGAGGTTGCAACAGCAACACGGCGACAGCTTGGGCGCAAGAGAACGCACTGTGGCAGGACAGCAACTATCACTATCGTTGGCCCCGCGAATATGCGGCAACATCCCTCTACTACAACGAACATGGCTTCAATGTTGTAGACCCTCTTGTGGATGACTTCGTACAACAGTACTTAACCTGACTGGTGGCACGTGCGTCATCTTTCTACCACTGAGCGGCGTGGCATCAAGGAAGTCGTGATGGACGGCCACGAAAAGGCCTCCACCAAATGCTCTACTACGCCCCCGGCCCATGCAGGACGTCCTCGCAAGGATAATCGCGTTAAGCAGTGACACAACGGCTGGTTTATGAGCATGGATCCCGCTGGTGGCCTCATTGTCGCGGTGCTGGAGATGCTCGCAACCCGGAGGACAATGCGGTCATGATCGACATGCTCCAGAAGACTCTCGATCAGACCCCCAATGCAGACTGTGTCATTTACGATCGCATCTGCCGGTGTATGTCCACCACTAAGAAGCACCAGGAGTTCAAGCAGACTTCCTGGTGCGTGGATCACTTCCATGCCCGAGGGCATTCTGACTCCTGTGAAGGTTTTCCGTTGAACCTCAAGCGATTGGACAGGCGACTGAAGGGCGTGAACACGTCGATCCCCGAACAGACATTCGCAAGGTTCAGAGGCTACATGCAGCGAACCTCAACGCGAAGGCTCGCGATGCACACGTCTTTACAGTCCTTCTCTACGTGGAACGCCACAACAACCTGATCCGAGACAAGTACATGCTGCATCTGAACAAGTTCAGCGCTCATCGCCGTGCAGCAAGACCCATTGGTGCATGGAAGAAGCCACGGCAGCAGCCGGCAGCTCGCAAGTACGTTTGTCGTCGACTGGCATCCGCATCCTCATCTGCGCTACATAAACCGGCAGCTTCCTCCTCATGCTCGGTCAACCGCAAGCCTGTCTCCTCCACATCCAAAGTCATCAAGAATCATCTGAAAAATTCGAATTGAGTATCAATGGGATGGACTCTTGTGCGTGTCCGTAGTTCAATCTCAATTGTGTCGCGAGTCACTATTCATTCACATGTTCGTCGCTTGGTCTACGTAGCGCCCGTGAGATTCGCCACAACTAGATTTTCATATGGAAATAATACTGAAAGATGAACGGCTTTCTCAGGCAATTACAAATCATACCAAGATGTATGTTTAACATGAAGTAGAAACTGATTGGGGCTTACTGTCACTGTTGCAGGAGACAGGCTAATACAGGCTAATGACTAATGCGTCCGACTGCCTGAGCGCGATGTAGAGACATAGGTCAAGACCAGCTTGCAGCGGATGGCGAATGGGAAGAAATCACAGCGTGACATATGTCTCAGTTCCTGATGATGTTATCTGCTCTGTTCAAGAGAGCACGCCGAACGCATCAGTATGTAGTCTTCTTTAGTTGAGAAGAAAGGCCTTGTCCTTGACAGGTATGATCCTCAGCGTCCAGACGTTAGGCAGGCAGTTTTTTGTTGTATGCATCTATGTGTATAGTAGTTGCACGCTCATATATACATATATATATATATATATACATATGGTAGTAGAAGCCAGATGAGCAAGTGCAAGGTGTTGCTAGTAAAATCGTTGTAAAATAAGCATAAAAGAGCATGTTTTTCGAGAAACGCGGGCCATCACGCCGACGCACTCTTCATTACTAACTTGTATATGAATATGGCAAATGTACTAGTATACCATTATACGAATGTTACCAACATGTTGTTGTACGTTTATACTAATACACCAATATACTAATGCACTCATGCACCAATGTATTAATATATTGATAGACTAATATACAAGTATACAAAGATAGAGGTGTCCGATTACATTAAGCTTAATCTGTTAATATACGAACCTATCACTATACTAAAATATCAAAACTAGTTCTAATATTGATACGAGCACCAGCACTTCTGCGAATATTCAACTGGTATTAAAACCATCATTGAGACTGATACGAAGACTAACATAATTCTAACACTAATATCGACATTGACACTGGCACTAACACTGACAAGAACATGAACACTAGTTTATGTTACTAATCTCGATATCTATACCTCGATTAAGCACTAATAGTAATACTTATACCAATACTGAAACTAATACCAATACAAATACGAATGATGAACCAATACCCATCCTAATTCCAATACTACCACCAAACTATTACAAATATTAACAGTGATAGTAGAAGTAGGACTGCTTGTACTACCAACAATAATATTGGTACTAAGCATAGAATGAAATTAAGAACAAGACTTACAAATACTAATGTTAATACTAATGCGAATACTAATGCTAATGCTAATACTCATACGAATACTATACTCACCTTAATGTCAAAGTACCGCACAATTAATACCAGTACTAACACTGATACTAGAATTGGGATAAACAACAACAGTGGCACCAAGAGCAAAACTGGGAACAATCATAAGTCAATACTCAGATTGAGATTAAGATTAGGATTCGGAGCATTGCATGGAGGTGTAGAAACTTCCAAGAATTGCCAACCATCACAAGGATTCCTGACACATTGGAGTTGAGTTTGGGAGAGGTGATCGTCGCTTTTCCGTTGACAGATCATGCCACCACCCTTCCCCTTCCCACGAGGTATGTCATGGGTGGGTGAGCATATATATCTATATGTATATATATATATACATGTATATACATATATATATATATATATATATATTTGTTTATTTATTTACTTATTTATTTATTTGTTTGTTTGTTATATTATATATATACAGAGATATAAAGCACCGTCATAGGAGTATACATACTATGTAGCGTTGCAATGTCTACATGTTCCCTGCCCATCCTTCTTAGGGAATATTGGCAATAATGCACATATGTACATAAGTGGAAGCACATGTCAAACAATCACGAAACATACGGATACATGAATAAGTTGACACAGATGTTTGGCTAGCTGGAACTACTTACGGCATTGCTTTCTTGAAACATTGCAGCGAAGAACACTTTAAATATCAGATGCAACCTTCTCGTGTATCGCGTGAGACAGGTAGACCACATGCAGATTATTCCCGGTGTGGAAGCAATGCACGCGGGAAACCAGCAGCACAACCGCGGAGCAGGCACTCAAAACCAGAAAACACCCCAAACCCCAAAAACAAAAAAAGACAATAGCAAACACGAGATTCAACAACTAAAGCACATAAAAGCACGAACCTACGTTTGGCATAGGGGTGATTTTTTTTTGTGTGTTTGTTCTGCTCTATTCACTATAGGGCTGAATTGTTAGGTCCGTTTTGGGGGGTTCATTTTTCTGCTGAAATATGTCTTACCGGGATCTGATGCAACTGGAAAAAACAAATAATTGCCGCAGATTCTTATGTTCCTCTTAGGTGGATTTGCTTCCTCTGACAGCCCCTCTTTCGACACACATATTGTGGTTGTAGCTTACTAGGAAGGGAATGTAGGTCAATAAAGGGGGTTGCCAAGTTTATTATTGTCTACATATGTATATTTATATATATATATATATGTATGCAAACAGACAAACATATACATGTCTAAACATCTAAACAGCTGAATATACTATTATGCCAGAATACATACCGACCTATAATATTTGATGGGCGGACTATCTAATTTTTTCTCAAAATCTAAATACATGCACGCATGAATACGTTATAGATTTATATATGTACAACTGATTTTATGTAGTACATACACAGTTTACAAATATCGAAAATTGTAAATATGTAAACGGTACAAATATGTTCATCTATTTTATACATCAGTATGTAATATTTGCAAATAATGTTGGAAAAATACAAGTGCTTGGACATATAGGTATAGTAAACTGTATCAATATACGAATACAGACATGTTTCAATGCTTAAACATGCAAATGTTGTGGAAGTTGAATAGGTAAGACTATGAAGACAGATATGGTTAATTGTTTAGATACCTGGACTTACATATACAACTAGATGTATACACAAGAAGTACATGTGTGCATATATACGGACAGACAAATAGACATATAGGGCAGTATGATTACCAGATATGCGAACATGTGCATATGTGTATATCTATACGCATACATGTATACCATACTGAATTGGGAATTTAAGGGGCAGCAGGGAAGCCTTTCATTTCTTCGCCGGCGAGCGAAACGTCGCTGTGATCGATTCTTATCCGGCAATAAGACACAGCTGATGTAAACACTTGCATGTCTTAGGTATGCACTGAAGCACTGGCCTGTTGTACCACTTCATGTGAAAAAGGGACCTTGTCCAAAAGGCAAACAGAGAGCCTAAGCCAGTTGGCCGACATTTTTTGGGAAGACGAGTGGAGAGCTGCTTCATTTGTTCGAACGTATACATCTGTCACAAGAGCTTCCTGGCTCCTAAATAAAACATAGAAGCGGTGCTCGTTTCTGGTTAAGACGAAGAAGGGCTGCCATGGTTTCATTGCGAGATAGAAAGCCCCCTTCCCATTCGTGGTCAATGCACAACGGGTTCTTGTGTTTGTGCTGTTTGTCTGTCTTGTGTTTACATGTGTGTTTTTCCGTTTTGTTAGTTGGTCTGCTTGTGTGGAAGGGATCCTCCAAGCGATGCCTGGATGTATCAGACGTGGCTAGCCCATTTCGACTCTGAAGGGGACGGCTTCGTTGGCGCGAGGCCATTCAGTTATTTCGCTATGCACATTCAATACCACTCCTTGAACGCATAACGCTGAAACTTGCGAAACCCTGCCTCCTGTATCTGCTTATGTCCTAGGCCGAAACACTTTGTTTCATGGCGTGCCGATTCTTCACCTCTCCGTTCCGAAGAGCATGCAGGTCCTCGATTCGGATGAGGAGCAGGAGTTCCTTTCTGACGGGCAGCCCAGGACCGAGGGCTCGTCAGGCGGCAGCACCCATGGCTTTCACTGTGTTTTCCCCATCAAGCAGGGAATCAATCCAAATCAAGGCCCCCGGGTCTGAACTGTTTGATTCACCTGTCTTGTATCCATGTGCAATCGGTGAACACATGCGCCCTGCCTGCAGACAGCAGTGGCGATAAGACGGCCGGGAACCAAATCGGGTTGTCGTTCAGCATGCCAAAGCCTGCTCAAGATAGGCAGATCGAGACGCTATGCAGTAGTATCTTAGCAAGTGCCCAAGTTCTTGCCCGTGACATCTAGGCCTAGGATTAGGCGCCCGATTTTGTTGTGCACGATCAAGGCCCTGTTTGAAAGCACAGTTTTAAAGTTTAAAGCTGTAGTTGCAATCTAGCTGAAACCGGGTACCTGCAATGAATGTACTACTGTTGCAGCTGTGGCATCGGCAAAGTCGGTGCAAAGCAAGAACCTAAAACAGGACGAAACCGTGGTTGCACTTCATGCAGGATAGCTTTGGTGCAAACTACAGCCAGCTCTTTTCCCCGCGAGCGTCGTTCAGGGTACGCATTGGGGACAAACGAAGCGCTCTGCCAGAGGCCAAAAGCAACCGAAGTGCCAAGAAACGCGGGCGGAAGCGCTTGAGCGTTTGTGAGCAGTAGCCTCAGGTTTTCCGCTGCACATGTCGCCCTCAGAAGAAGGTTAACATCGGGTCGTGGTCGAGCCTCTTGTCGTCTGTGACCATTGGATATGCGCAGAGACTCTCGCAGGTTCCTATTGATGCATCTTGCAATCCTTCCCCCGGGAATTCCGGCACGAGACAAAGCCGATAGCAGATTTCAGGCACTAATATTGCAAAGAGGCTTTTAGGTTCAAAGACATAGACCTGTCAAGCGGCAGCCATCTTCATCTAAGTTCTTAGTCTTATCTACAGAGCAGCAAGCTTTGTTGCTCTGGTCAGGGTCGGAGCGCCAGGGGAGAGACTGAAGCCAATACCTCCGGTTCGAATGTCCCAAGAAGCACACAGGTCCTGACACGAGCAGGGTCAATCAGGCTGTCATCAGATTCGAGCATCTAAGTCAAACCCAGGACGATGCCAGTTTCGCCATCCTCGGCCCTGCAGATCATCATCAACAACCCCGGAAAGCTGGAGCCGGAATCCTTGCTTTACTTCCTCTAGAACTTGCGGTTTCATTCCTGTCTTCCGCCTTCGGAATTGAGCTCGTGGGCGTGGCAGGCTTTGGATTTATGGTGCAATGTGCCGGTGTAATTGTCGATGTTTGTTTTTTTCCATGTCCGTATTCATGGGTGCGCAGAATGAAGACTTAAGAGGAGGTTGGAGGCCGACCTGTTACGTGCAGGCATGCACAAGCCAACAAGCCAAGCGATGCTGAACCTTGAGCTATCTCTGATTCGCCTCCTGAGCCTGACTTGGAACAGCCACTTGCAGAGGTCTTTCTACGATGTGGACCAGGCCGGGCCCGGGTTGCACGCAAAGTACATTGTACATGGTCTGAACGCCAAAGATAAGGATGATTTTTGGAAGCTATCATCAGATTCAAAGAGCTAAATACTCCACATTTTTTTGACAGACAGACAGCAAAGCTGGTAACTAGCGAAGCGACTATCGACAGGTCTTACAAATACTCCACATCAGGGAGTAGTCTTCCTGGGGACTTTGGATGCCATATGGCATGGGTGCCATGCCATAGTGTGGAGAACGATAATGTTAGTTATGTATGTGTAATGTCCCCATGAATATGGTGAAGGCGCAAAAACGATAGGGCGATTTTGTGAGCATACTCATGCCTGATCCAGACAGGTAGCCGACAGATAGCCAAAAACGAGGTCAGGAGACCCTGGTCTGGAACGATATCAAGACGATATCACAACGATAACCGAAAGATCAATAAGAGTGTGACTTCTGAACCCACCCACCATTCTTTATCGGAGCCCTCTCTGCCAATAAGCCGAAGCTCTGCAAAGTCATAAGGACCTTTCGCACGCTATTTTGCGCTTTTGAGGGTTCATTCAGGGTCGGACTTTGGGCTTGAGCTTCGGGTGCTTAAGGAATCGTTCCCGACGTGCTTCGACATGCTTGCTACTTGCAGTATGATACTTATGCCGCTGATGTTGCGTTTGATATGTAAAACGATATGGTGAAGGTCCAAAAACGATAAGATCAAGACAAAGACCGCTTCTGCGTGAACGAATATTGCCCATCGCTCAGATATCATCATGTCAAATTCCCGTGTAGGCAAGTTCATGAATGCCCGTCTGTATCTTGGTGTTGCTTTGATGCCTGCTTCTTCCAAACCGCGGAAGTTGGCTTTCGTCAGCCGCAGCGCAGCATTTCGTAGCCGAGAAGCCCCGCCACGCGATTCGCAGAGGCGCCTTGTGCGCATGAGATTGCAGTCCTGTGTTGAGGCATTTTGCAATATTAATCAGGTAAGGACGTATCGGCACAGGATCCATGTTGCTAGCAGCAGAAGTCTGCTCATGCAAACGCAGACATCAGGTCATGATGCTTCCCTTTGCCGCCGCCGTCCTGGGTTTGCTGCCAGGTGTTCTGGGAGGAGGTACGGGTCCTGCTTGCTGAGATATGGGCGTTGCATACGCGATGAACTCCTATGAGTGTTTCATCTCTCGGACCTGTCCAAGGAGGGAGTCTGTATTGCTTCTCCTGTGTCACACCCAACACCTACGAAGTTGGGATGGTGGCTGCCATGGCGCGCCTCTGATGCCTAATGCAGGCTTTGGGAAGGTGGGAAGGTGCCGTGATCGGAGATCCCCAGGGGCTTACAGCTTTGGGTGAAGGTGTGCCTTTGCAATTTATGAGCATGATTTGCAATGACTTCAGGGTTCATGTGCAGAGGAGGTTTAAAAGCAGGTGTCTGAGGGCAACAGAATCACCAGTGCACAGTCACAGAAGCTCTCCTGCAGCCTGTGTCACACATTGGGTGCAGGCACACGACACACGTGCACGACTTCGAGGTCTCATGAAAGCCTGTCCTACCTCTTTGCTTCAGACGGAAACAGGACGCACAAACAAATATTAGCTGAAGCCACAAAGCCGACTTGCAAGGCCTTTGTTCGAGCAGGTGCCGTGAGCTGCATGCCGCAAGTTCCACTATTCCGTTGCCTTCCAAGGAAGCTGGAAGTGGGCATGTTTGAGTGCGATGACTTCGATGTCATTAGTAGCATGTCAGCAAATCTGCGGGTTTCGAAGGAATTCTGTGCAACTTCGTAAATTGATCGGCAAACCGAAGACGGCCATCGCCTCCACAGAAGACTGACACACGCAGTACCAGGCAACACCACTGCCGACGAGCTGTTCAAGGACTTTCCTGATGTTGCTGCGATGCTCAAGGACTTCGCAAGAGCAGAGTGTCCAACCATTCTCGTATTTGTGCGATTCGTTTGAGCTCACCGCAGTCTGCTGCTCCATTTCCGCATTTGTCATCTCGTGCTTTGCCGCCTGTTTGCCAGGACAAAGTGCACGTGGTACACCATCACCTCTACGCAACCCGGGCACAACTCTATTACTTGGTGTTGCTTTTGGTAGGCTACCGAGGGGAAGTGAGAGGCTTCGCTGGAACACGGACCAGTGAGATACTGACACAAGGCTACGCGATGTGGCAATCGAACAGATTGCGTTAGACACTTCGCCAGGCTTTTGCAAGTACTATAGACATTCTTTCAGCGATGCTGTTTCTCGTAGCAGTAGCCTGACCAGCCATCCAGCAAAGCCGCCTTGCACCAAGGCCAAGATGGTAAAAGGACCGATAGGCCTGGTCTTGCGACGTTCTACTACCGGGTGTGCTTGCAGTTGAAACGATCGACATCCAACAATGTCCGTGGCAAATTTAGGATGATTTCTACTTTGCCTTGTGGTGTTGTGAAACATCGCACCTCATCGTTTGGTCTTCACCTGCTCCTCTGTAGCAATAACTGGTTTTTTCATGGGAAAGGATGACAGGAAAACACCTCGACAGTGTCGTTAACAGGCAGCGGTGGTTGCTCAGTTAAAACCCACCCTTAAACTGACAGCGTGCTCTTTCAGCTGCCGGAGCTTGTGGATCACAGCGCCATCCTCGAAGGCCTGAGAGCTCTGAGGCTCCCACTCAGGAGGCGTAACGGAACGACCACGAAAACACTAGCGCTCGGTCCATTCAGAGTAGGCTTTGTCCGTCGGCGTCCGTGTCGTACTTCTGCACGATCAGTTTGTAGTAGGCTCGGTGGCAGGCTGAGCAATATCCGTGCCCAACAAAACGCATGCTCGAGTGTTGCCCCCACCTCCGACCCATCGTCTGAGTAAGTCACCTCTGCAATAGTTGTACAAACATCAGTTTAAGATCAGTGGTCTTGCTTGGCATACGGCAACAAGAAGCATAACGATAACATAATTCCAGGATGTCGAAAATTGAACGCGGCTATTCCACGACCCCTTATCGTGTTACCGGTTTTCCTCTTGATAGTCCGACCGCACACCCCAGCATCATCCGAGGCCACATACAGAAAACGTTTCACTGCCGGTGGACGCCACCATGCCCGCCACGCCCCACTTATTGTACTGAGCAGAGATGTAACACTGTGATCAGTTGACAAAGTGGCTGTTGCCGTTAGATAGAGTCGTTTTACCATCTTCTTGCCTCGGCCTCTGTGTCAAAATCCCTTGTGCAGGGCATGATACCTCGTCACCGGCAACGGATCCGAATTCCCCTCTCTACCAGGGGGAAAATGCGACCCTCATTGGCAAAGCAGCCCCCTCTGATCTGTCCACGCTTGTGAAAGACCGACCTTCTCAGGATCATGCTCCACCTTGCCAATGCCCCCATCTTCAAGCACGCAGGGCCCTGGGCTTCCCTTCCCTGTCTCGAGCTCAGCTACGGAAGAGTTTGCCCAGGTGTGGGAAACGATCTTCCGCATCGGAAATTTCGAGTCTTGCCTGCACGACCGGTCGCCATGTCGCGCACATGACGGAACTCTGATAATTGCTCGCAGTTTGAGAACACCGGTGCTTGCCCGAGCCTGGTACATCCTGGTACTGTTTTCAACAATGAAGTTCTGAAAGCGGCTGCCCAGGAGAAGTACGACTACACAGCA